AACCTCTGGTTTAGACCATTCTTCCACCAACCCCGGGTGTAAAAGAAAGAACTAAACGGAAGATTAAACCGACAAAACTGATGGGTTTGTATACAAACATAGGGAAGAGGGGGTTACTGGCTAATTTATTATATTTACATATGGAACTATATAAAGAGCCGCAGTTTACCGACCTCTAGTTTAGACCATCCTTCCACTAACCCCGGGTGTAAAAGAAAGAACTAAACGGAAGATTAAACCAACAAAACTGATGGGGTTACTGGGTAAACGGTCGTCGTTATGTCCAAGTAATTTGTTCTCCAGAATCCACTTGAGATTTGAAGAAATTACCATCCCAGATCAATTTGAGGCTCTTGGCACACATCCAGCTAACTTCATAGTGAATGTGGGCCACTTAGTTTCAACCACCCTGAAACTGACGGTCGGCAGAAAGATAGTCTAAACTGTTAGTTCTCAACCGCTACGACCCGTGTTCGATTCCCGCATTGGGTACCTTTTTTCTGAATAAAAAAATACTTCATTATCCCCCCCCCCCCCCCCACCCTCGATTCTTGCTAAAATCCCAACCCCACTAGCGAGTACAAGTAACTAAACAGCGCTTTGATATATTTGTAAGTGCAAAGTCGAACTGCTTTTCACAAATTCACACCCTGAAACTGACGGTCGCGGTAGAAAGATAGTCTAAACCGTTAGGTCTCAACCGCTAAAACCCGTGTTCGATTCCCGCATTAGACACTTTTTTTTCTGATTAAAATTACTTCATTGGTCCCCCCCGAATCTTGCTAAAATCCAACCCCACCAACGAGTGCAAGTACACGAGGCTTTGACACATTTCTAAGTGCAAAGTCGAACTGCTTTTAACATGTGTAGATATGTGGTGTACTTACAGTAAAAGCAGTCGCCTACTTCTAACCACAATGATTATCGTGGTCTGTACCACATGTACTAGGGATAAGCAAAAAAAAAAAAACCATGATACTTCCAAACCTTACAACCTTTTCTAAGTTTCTTTCTCAAATTTGAAACAAGTTTAGAATCTTCCTGGAAAAGAACTTCACAACAAAGTCTCAACTTGTAATGATGAATGCTAAGTTTTGGCAAAAAGTAGAAGACAACCGGTGATACAAAAAAGTCGGTGGATGAGAGGGTAACACGCTCGATTCCCGACAGTCATGAACCGGGATTGAATCCCGCGTTAAAATTTCGTTTAATATGTGAATAACCTTCACATGTTATTCACTGTTTCAATTATCATAAACTAGGTTGCTCTTGTTGAGTGGTACCTATTAATGTGATTTGAACCAGATTTGAACCAGGATATAAAAAAAGACTTTCTACTTCTTCATCCATGAGTGTAGATAAGGAGACTAAGGTGAGAGATTATATGGATTTGTAGATATGTAAATAAAGAAAGAATATGTAGATAATATACATATTGAGATCAAAACACGAAACTATTATAGACACGTATGATTCTTTTTAAAAATAAACAATTTCTACTGTCCTTACTGCAATGGAGAAATTAATGGGAGGTCCTGGCTCATCAGTGGTGAACTCTCCCAGCGGTATTGCCAGTTTAATCTACCATACCCTTGTTATATATATATATATATATATATACAGCTTGCACCACGCTGATGAGGGCCAACATCCCGAAACGCGTACGTGGTTAGCATTTCTTGATTAATCAAGAATGGGTAATTGGTCATTTCTGGAATAATTAGAAATCAACGAGAATAGTTGATATTTATTCCGATAGATGGCGCCAGCCATCAGCAACTTTCAGTTGCACGATAAGGAGATGCCTTTTTCTTAATATATATACGATATATACTCGTATATATATATGTTATAGATTAAACTGGCGAAACCGCTGGGAGGGTTCACTACTGATGAGCCAGGCCCTCCCATTAATTTTTCCATTACAGTAAGGGAAGTAGAAATTGTTTATTTTTAAAAAAGAATCATAAGCGCCTATAATAGTTTCGTATTTTGATAACAGATGGCGCGCTAATGTATCATAATATATATTGAGATGTACACGCACAATGACACGCGACGTGTGTTTACCTTTTACAAACAAATATAATTCCTGGAGATTGAGGACAATATAAATATATTGATTAAAATTATTCTAAGGTTCCAAAGTCGTTCTCACGCGGTATTTCAAAATTTGAAATATAATTAAACATATAATTTTGCTCCTGACGAGGACAAAAGATTTTTGTTGAAACGTCAAGGTAAAAAAAAGATTTACTGGCCGAAGTATCTTTATTTTCAATAAATATTTCATATGTGTATGATTCTTTTCAAAGTTAAACAATTTCATAATGCCTTAACTGCAATGCTACATTAATGGGAAAAATAGGAAATGCAACAAAATCAAAAAGACTTTATAAAGGAAATTCTTCCCATACAGTATTCTCCCAGATACAGAAGTAAACATAGCAGTTATCTACAGAAGTGGAGATTAACATTGACCTTTCTTCAAGTTGGATCCATCATCTGTGTTGTGCCTATTGTCTTTGCTGTTTTCAGAATTTATGAAAAGCTAAGGCATTGAGTTTGATTTTGACTACTTTTACAATTAGAACATATTGCGACTTGTTTTCATAACCAATCTTTTGACGAGAATTTCTCTTTTCTTCTCCAGTGCCGGAAAATAAAACATGTAGTGTGGGAAGTCCTTGCTGAATTCGCTATTGCACAAAGTGAATTTTAAGTTCTTAGATTTCAATAATAAAACGTATTTATAAATCACTAACCAATAAAGATGTATATGGTTGAATGGATAGCACAATAGTGAAATACATTTTGTTCTATAATTACCTAACTGGCCTTTTTAATTTGTCATCTACAGTTATCTTCTTCCAATAAATCCTTTCAACACCCCAAGATAAACTATTATTGATAGTAAAAAGGTGTAGAAGGTATAAAATGGTTAAAAGATAAAAAATGTTATCATAGTGTGTCGTGTGTTAATGCAAAATCAATTTATTGTTTTTTTTTATGGCAACTTGAGATAGCGTGAACGTTGGTGGTGATGACTTGGTGGTTCTTTGTCCTTTTCTCGAGTTACTCTTGGTTTTATGTCAACTGTGTGGTTGTATGATTCTTGAAGGTGATAGTGGCGTTCACACTTGGTTATCTCGTGTCTTCAAGGTCACTGTAATATCTTTCAGAGTTATTATCTGAATCCCGATATACGTGCTGAAAGATACAACTTCCTTAAGTTTTGTCCATGAGTGTATATTTCAGAGTTATTGTTTGAATCCCGATATACATGCTAAAAGGTACAACTTCCTTAAGTTTTGTCTATGAGTATGTCTTCAATAAAGGTCACTGTAATAGCTTTCAGAGTCATTGTCTGAATCCCGATATACATGCTAAAAGGTACAACTTCCTTAAGTTTTGTCTATGAGTATGTCTTCAATAAAGGTCACTGTAATATCTTTCAGAGTCATTGTCTGAATCCCGATATACATGCTAAAAGGTACAACTTCCTTAAGTTTTGTCCATGAGTGTGTCTTCAATAAAGGTCACTGTAATATCTTTCAGAGTTATTGTCTGAATCCCGATATACATGCTAAAAGGTACAACTTCCTTAAGTTTTGTCCATGAGTGTGTCTTCAATAAAGGTCACTGTAATATCTTTCAGAGTTATTGTCTGAATCCTGATATACATGTTAAAAGGTACAACTTCCTTAAGTTTTGTCCATGAGTGTGTCTTCAATAAAGGTCACTGTAATATCTTTCAGAGTTATTGTCTGAATCCTGATATACATGCTAAAAGGTACAACTTCCTTACGATTTGCCCATTAGTTTTATGTATAAATACTATAAAGCTTGTACCATCATCCTCTTATATAAAAAACCTCTTCTCCCTGACTTGTATTTTCGTCTTCTATTATAAAGAGGGAGATTATTGTTCTCTTATAATCATTATTTGGTATAAACACCTGATATCAGTCAAGTTAACTCCATCAACAAAGCTCAATTCCTTGTTACATTCTGTAGCCATCTTAAAAAGGAACTACCGCTATACAAGTGTTGACAGGAAGTTAAAAAAAAAAAAAACTCGACGACGACGCTGGATTTAATTAGTGTACCAATCTCTGAAAACCAAGTCAGTCTATTGATCATTTCTTCTTTCACAGCTTGACGACAATGCCTCTGCTGGAGAATCCTTTTTTTTTTTACTTACACTAAACCTTTCATCCAACTAACAACCAGATTTTCTTTCTGCCAGGTGCTTTCTCAGGTCGATAGCTGGAAGTGAATGGGGAAGATAGATGCATCAACGTTTACTTCAACAGAGTGTTGTAAGGTCTTAATGTACGTTTAAGGATATGACGTCGTATATTTAGAGTATCTTGACATGGTTGGGGATTTCTCTTTCGCCCTATCTATTCATTCATATATCTATCATTATTAATCTTATTTATTCTCTATTTAACCTTATATAATCTTATATGGACGTTTTAATAAATCAGTTTCAATCTCAATCTCTTTCGCCCTATCTCTCTCTCTCTCTCTTTTTGTATGGATTCATTTATCGTAAAGATACAGGCTGCCTGGCCGGCATTCATATTTTTTGAAATTAAAGATACTTCAGCCAGTAAATCTTTTTATTATCTCGACGTTTCGACAAAAATCTTTTGTCCTCGTCAGGAGCGAACAAAAATTAAAACATTAGGCGTTAAAAAATATTCCAGAATATATTTTAACTCTTTGCCAAATGTCTTAATTTTTGTTTGCTCCTGACGAGGACAAAAGATTTTTGTTGAAACGTCGAGATAATAAAAAGATTTACTGGCTGAAGTATCTTTAATTTCAGGATTTAAATTAGATTTCTAAAAAATATGTATAAATGTTATAAAAAAAATTATTTCATTTTTAATTTATATTTTCTATAGAAACAAACTATTCTGTAAAGTCGACCGCAAGATGCCACAGATTTTTCTATATAAGCTCATTGTTGTTGTTTTCTGTTGTTTTAAAGCGAAATAGCTCAGCTGCGAAAGCTTTAGACTGAGAATCTGGTGTCCCTTGTTCGAACCTACTTTTCGCCACCTTTTAATGATAATTATTTTTGCTATTTCTTCCTGATTTTTTGTGTATGAGGATGAAAGAGTCGGTACACGAGTAGGTAACACCCTCGATTCCCGACAGTCTTGAACCGAGGATTGAATCCCGCGTTAACATTTTATTTTAATATGTGAATAACCTTTACATATTATTCATTAGATGGAAATTTTGCCGGGAGGATATTGATCTAAAGAAACAAAGGTCGCCTCTCCCGTCAAAATAGACGTCAAAACTAGACGCCATCTATTGACCGTCGCCGTAAACTAGCAGCCTCGGGTGGACTAGGTGGACACTTCTCAGTTTGCCAAAGCTGGTGTTGTGGCTTTGTCACCGACCCGAGACCACTAGTTTGCGGTGACGGTCAATAGATGGCGTATAGCTTTGACGTCTATTTTGACGGGAGAGGCAACCTTCGTTTCTTGAGATATTATTCATTGTTGTAAATATCATAAACTAGGTTGCTCTTTTTGAGCGATTTTGGTACAAGAACAAGATTGTATGGGGATGTAGCTCAGTGGTAGAGCGTCCGCTTTGCATGTGAAAGGTCTCGGGTTCGATCCCCGGTATCTCCACTTTTTTTTTTTTGGGCTCAAAAATCATACATTTATGTATAATATTAATATATACAGTTATCAGCGTCATAATCAATTCATTATTAATCAATTCTGTCACCGTTTGCGCTTTTGTGAATGGAATAAATACCCAAATATGGCCATTTCTCATAACCATCGGTGGTTCAGTGGTAGAATGCTCGCCTCTCACGCAGGCGGCCCGGGTTCGATTCCCGGCCGATACATTTTTTTTTTTTTACAATTTTTAAAACTCATTTATATATTATACAAGAATGACATCCACGGCGCCAATTTATAATTGTAACGAATAGTATTTGAATAAAAGCATTTAATCGGGTAAACCCCGGGCGTTGCCCGGGTCATTCGGCTAGTATATAAACAAAACAAAATAAGCATATCCTGACTGCTCACATGAACTTTTTATATGGCAGAGCCCCATCTAGTGGAATAAAAATAAACTAAACATTGATTTAGGCTTGTTCCATAATATTTAGCTATATTATTTAATTTAAAATAGGTTTACCTCCAATAAGCGACCACCTCTAAGATAGACCCGACAATTTCTTATGGAAGAGAGGTTCTGCTCTACAATTCAAAGAAACGAAAAAAAAAATGGTTGAAGGAGATTTTTTTCTTAATAAAATTTTGCAATAATTCATTCTCTTCAGCTTATAATGTGTGTTGCTTAGATAAATCTTTGCAGTTTCACAGTTAGACATTTTAAATTATTTCTTGAAAAATAGGTTTACCTCTAATAAGCGACCACCTCTTCGAGAGACTCGACAATCTCTCATGGAAGAGAAGTTCTACTGTACAATTCAATAGGAGCGTTAAAAATTTGTTGAAGGAGATTTTTTTTTCTTAATAAATTTTGCGATTACTATATTCTCTTTAGCTTACAATGTGCATTGCTTAGATAAATCTTTGCAGTTTCAAAGTTAGAGATTTTAAATTATTTTTTGTAAAATAGATTTACCTCTAATAAGCGACCACCTCTTGAAAAGACCCGACAATTTCTTATGGAAGTGAGGTTCTACTGTACAATTCACTAGGAGTGATACATTTTGTTGAAGGAGATTTTTTTCATAATAAAATTTTGCGAAAATATATTCTCTTTAGCTTACAACGCACTTTTCTTTGATAGAATGGTAGATCTTTGCAGTTTCAAAGTTAGAGATGTTAAAGTCAATAGCTGGGGAAGTTCATCTGGAGCTGAAGAAACACAAGTTTCAATTTTACCCAACTTCCCAACTTTAGAACATTGGGCAAGTTTTTATAGTTTTATCTCTGAGTTGGTTCTATCATAATGGAATTTAATTTTGTCGGCTACAAATTCTACTTTCTGTGGAACTCACCATGTTGTTTGGAAAGATAACAAAACTCGGGTAAAGTTGAACAAATACATTCATTGAATCTCATGTCCCTTGTCGTCTTTTTTCCTTTTTTTGGAGGAGACAGAGACAATTTTGTTCACAATAGGTTATCTCGTGTCTTCAATAAAGGTCACTGTAATATCTTTCAGAGTTTTTGTCTGAATCCCGATATACATGCTAAAGGTAAAACTTCCTTTAGTTTTGTCCATGAGTGTGTCTTCAAAAAAGGTCACTGTAATATCTTTCAGAGTTATTGTCTGAATCCTGATATACATGCTAAAGGTAAAACTTCCTTTAGTTTTGTCCATGAGTGTAGCTTCAAAAAAGGTCACTGTAATATCTTTCAGAGTTATTGTCTGAATCCTGATATACATGCTAAAGGTAAAACTTCCTTTAGTTTTGTCCATGAGTGTAGCTTCAAAAAAGGTCACTGTAATATCTTTCAGAGTTATTGTCTGAATACCGATATACATGCTAAAAGGTACAACTTCCTTTTGTCCATGAGTGTGTCTTCAATAAAGGTCACTTATTGTCCGAATCCTGATATACATGCTAAAAGGTACAATTTCCTTAAGTTGGCGTCAATAAATGGCGTTTATTTCGACGCCTATTTTGACGGGAGAGGCGACCTTTGTCTTTGTAAATAAAATATATATATTGAAAATAGAACAATCCATAAATAAATCTTTAATTAAAAAGGCATATATTGGATCAAAATATCATTTATTTTACCAATATTTCAGTTGGCTGAACGCCAACCTTTATCAAGGTTGTTGTCACACATTAATATGTTATAATACCTTGAAAAAGGTTGGCGTTCAGCCAACTGAAATATTGATAAAATATATGCTTTTTTAATTAAACCTCTATATATAACAAAATAGGCAAATCCTGACCTCTCACATCAGTTTTTTAGATTGCAGAGCGTCATCTACTGGAACGAAAAATCAACTAAACGTTGATTTAGATTGTTTCCATAATATTTGGCCATATTATTTCTTGATAAATATGGTTACCTCCAATAAGCGACCACCTCCAAGGAGAGATCCGACAATCTCTTATGGAAGAGAGATTCTATTGTACAATTCAGAGATAGAAGCGTTAAATTTCTTAAATGGGGACGTCACTTCTTGGCACACTTGTCCTCTTTACATTAGGAGATTTCACATTCTGTAGCTTCCATCTTATTTACATACATCGTTCTATAACTTTACCTCGATATGTAACTCTACCAGGCTTCTCTTAAAACTTAAAATTATTCGGACACTAACAATAATAACTCCCCAGTGGCGCAATTGGTGAGCGCACGGTACTTATAAGCAGTACTTGTGAGTGATGCCGGGGTTGTGAGTTCGAGCCTCACCTGGGGAATTTTTTTTTTTTATAATTATGAATATTTTATAAATGATACCATTATGATGTATCAGCGCGTCATCTTTTATGAATATTCGAAGCTATTATAGACGCGTATGATTCTTTTTGCAATGGAAAAATTAATCCATTGCAGTAAGAGGAGTATAAATTGTTTACTTTTTAAATTTCAGAGTTATTGTCTGAATCCCGATGTACATGCTAAAAGGTACAACTTCCTTAAGTTTTGTTCATGAGTGTGTCTTCAATAAAGGTCACTGTAATATATTTCAGAGATGTTGTCTGAATCCCGATATATACATGCACATGAGTGTGTCTTTCAGAGTTATTATCTGAATCCCGATATACATGCTAAAAGGTACAACTTCCTTAAGTTTTGTATATGAGTGCATATTTCAGAGTTATTGTTTGAATCCCGATATACATGTTAAAAGGTACAACTTCCTTAAGTTTTGTCCATGAGTGTGTCTTTCAGAGTTATTGTCTGAATCCCGATATACATGTTAAAAGGTACAACTTCCTTAAGTTTTGTCCATGAGTGTATTTTTCAGAGTTATTGTCTGAACCCTGATATACATGCTAAAAGGTAAAACTTCCTCAAGTTTTGTCTATGAGTGTATTTCATACTTAACATACACAATTGACACATAGCCCAAATCTGATGTCATTCTCCATCCCAGCAGACTGTCTCACTGCAGATGCCGCCTACACTCGACCCGTACGTCCCAAAATACTACCGGCGATGTTTGCCTAGATGTCATCGTCCCGGCTATTTCTGTCTATTCTACCACGTTCTTCTGCCAACCGCTTCAAACTGCAACAGACGAGCCGTGGTATGCAAGCACATTCATCTCAATCTTTTGCTGAGTAATTCAACTTCTTGGAACATGCTTCAACTTGGCATCGTCTCTGTACCATGGAAGTTTATATGGCTGCTTCTTTAAGGCCTCATAAATTCCTTTTAATATCTATTTTTTTCTCCAAAAATGGAAAACTAAAAAATTAACTTTTCTTTGTACGTTGCTAGATCATATTTGTACTAATTCATATGTCAAATCATTATTTTTTCAATTTTTGGTTAAGAGTTACGACGATACAAAGTGAATTGTTTTGAAAATAGAACAATCCACATAAATATATATTCAATTCAAAAGGCATATAATATTGTTACATCAATTTTAATGTGCCTTACATTTATTAAAAACTAGCGGACGTACCCGGCTTCGCCCGGGTTTTACCCGAGTAAAAGTTTGTCTAACGAATCTCTCGATAAAGTGAACATTTTTTTCCCGGTCCCTTGAAAAATACTCGATAAGTTGAATAAAATCAATAATAATTGGTTCCCTCGGTAATTGGAAGTTAAAGGAATAGTATCTTGCCTTGGAATTGTATCATTATTCTTGTATGGATGTACCCGGCTTCGCCCGGGTTTTACCCGAGTAAAGGTTTGTTTAACGAATCTCTCGATAAAGTGAACATTTTTTCCCGGTCCCTTGAAAAATACTCGATAAGTTGAATAAAATCAATATTAATTGGTTCCCTCGGTAATTGGAAGTTAAAGGAATAGTACCTTGCCTTGGAATTGTATCATTTTTCTTGTATGAATGTACCCGGCTTCGCCCGGGTTTTACCCGAGTAAAGGTTTGTTTAACGAATCTCTCGATAAAG